GCTGTCACAGGAACAAGCAATGCATGCAAACCAGCCAGAGCTGTACATAGGCACTCCTTGCTACCGAGGTCAGTTGTGCTCAAGTAACAAAGCTGATCTAAACAGCACCTACAGTACCTGTTCATTCAGGGGGAGTGCAGCTCTCAGTAGAACAGGTCAAATATCCAGCTCTGATACAAGAAGCACTGGTCTCTGTCTTGTCAGGATTCAGTTTCCATTTATTAGCCCCAGTTCCAATCCAATGCAGCCTCCAGGCAGTGGTTCAACACCAACACATATGGCTAATATAGTAAAGAGCAGTAGAGGAAGGTGTCACCAGCATACTGATGACTGCACACAGCAGCTTCATACAGATATTTAAAAGCAATGGGGACAAAGTGGAATCCCGTGGACAGAGCAGAAGCCACCTAGCATTACTCTCTGGAAACAGCCCTGCACCTAGGAGTTGAACCATTTTATCACAGTGGCACCTGAGGCACAAAACTCCCAAAGCACCTCCCCCTGGGATGAAGACTACAGTAACAATAAATCTAGAAATTTCCAACTTGATTCTTTGTCATGACACCCCAAATCAGCTGCCTGCAGTAGTCAGCTCACTCAGTCTAATGGTCAACGCCAGATTTAGGGCGGTGTGGGCAGTTCCCTTCCCCCACAGGTCATTGAGCAGACAGGGCGCAAAACTATGACAAAATGCACTTGAGAGCATGCACAGAATGGAAAGTAAGAGGAGGGAGGGTGCTTGAATTTTGTCGTAACACAGCTCATTATTTTACCCAAGTCCACCCCTGCTAATGGTGCAGAGAGTCCAGTGGCCGTGGAGACAGTGCCTCATCTAACTATTCAAAGCTGAGTTTAGATATCTAGATGCCTCCATGCGTTTTCACAGGGACTTAGCATGGCGAAGGTCACTGTAATGGAAGAACAGTTTGTAGCATTCAGTACAATGAGTGAGATTGCTCAGACAGATGTGATTATTTCAGCAATGTAGGAAGCGTATAATCATATATTAATATCACTGCTTACATATGAGAAATACACACATTCATCAAACATCTAATACAATCCAGGACAGCGATATAGGAAACAACTGAAAGACATTTGCTTCAGGTGCGCTCCGCAGCAGGCGTTTCAAGGTGGGAAGATAAAAGCAGGGAGCTTCTGATCTCAGCTTGTTAAAACTTCAGGGTCGGGCACATTGCCAAGGTGGGTGGGGGACTTGCTGAAGCATACAAAAGCATGGGCAGCTCCAACAAGGTACAGGAATCACCTGCTGAAGACACTGGTTCAGGCTTTGATTACTTCTCATTTGGATTAGTGTAATGCTTTGTTTTCCAGCCGGCTTTTCTTCCAGCTTCACTTCTTGTTAAGAATTCTGCTGCCTATACTAGGTGGCAAGATGCAAAAAAATAAAATAAAAAATAATTGGGGAGGGGGGTGTAGCAGGGCTTGTACACCTTTAATGGTTGTGCAAAGAATGGGATTTCAGTAGGTGTGATTTCTGTGACAATCCACTCTTCTACAGAACTCTTAAAGGTAGAGTAGTCCTGTACGCACGGCCACCTTTATCCACTTAGCAGCTTTGTGATCATGTGAGTTGATGCTTTTCATCCCATTGGCTCCTTATTTCTTTCCAGATCCAGTATCGGTGCTCAGATTAAATGCTCAGTTAGTCCAGCCTCTCCTTGTTGTCACTTCTTGTGGCAAGATATACAAGGGACATATAGGTTCCAATCCAGAATCTAGTTTGTGGCCCCCGAGACTCAGTTTCTTGCCAAAATCTCCCCCACTCCTGCGCTACTGTTTGTTGTGAATTATGGAATTTGCCTTTATAGAATTTGCCTTTACCTTTACCTTTATGGAATTTGCATGCAATGTTGCAGGTGAGCAGAAGGCTGCTGTTCTCCTCTCCACAATCTTGAGGTGCTTCCTTTATCCACAGTCTCTGTTGTCTCATCAGCTTTTAATTTGTCTCTCAAATCTTCAACTATTCCTGCCTGAATCTTTTAGTCCTCTTCCGTCCTATATGGCAGCTTCACAGGGCTAAACCTTTCTTTATTTCTGTCTCTTTATACTATCCACTTTGCAACTGCATTTTCCTTCCTGGGTGCTCGTAGGTAGTTCTAGGAATCATTAACCGCTCTTCAAATTCTCAAGTCCCCTTCATACATGAACCAAGTAGAAATGAATGTAGAAAGCAGAAGTCTCACGGTCATGTAGCTCCTTACTCTCATCCGCAACATCCATTCGCACATTGAGTGCATTGGCTTCTCTTTCGATGGAAATGGGGTTTAATTTTGCTCAAAGTGCTATTATATTCCCAAGGGAAGCCGAAGGTATAAGCTACAGTTTGAAATGGGATACAAAGGAAGTGAAGTACCATTGTGTGCACTGCATTATGTTTGCAGAGCTATTATGCTGGGTGTCCCTATTAAACATAAAACTGCCTTCAAAAAGAAGCCACAGCTGGGAGATAACCCACATCAATGCGCTAATCTGGTTTGCATAACAAGCGCAATTTATATAGGCTGATAAAATAGGGGAGTTGAAGCCAAAAAAATTGGAGTTTCTCATAGAAGCAAAGCTCAGCAGTGTTTTATTTTGCAAACCCTTACTTGAACCTTTTTTGTCCCCAGACTATACCCATAAAATGTATATCAAAATTAAGAAGATAGTTTAAGTAACCTCAAGCTAGTATTTTCTCAAATGAGCAACTCTTTATATAAACAGCCCAGGCTCATGAAGAATCAGATGTATTTAAACACATTGCTTCAATAGCCTTAGTCATGCCTAATGCTGCTCAGGCTTAGATTGCAGTAGGTAAATTTTAATTGAGCTCAGTGGGACTTGTGAACATGAGTAGGATAAAATTCCTTCATCTCACAAAGGTCCCACACCGGGGAGCAGTCTCTATGCTGTGTGCTCAGATGTATCATCTGAATGCCAGGCAAAGGGATTGTACTGAAGACTGCATCGGGCCACTACATTATTGCCATTAAATAACATGTTTAGGTTGGAATCCTCAACTCACTACTTCCCAAAATGAAAAATTAAAAGATGCTGCATGGATGCAGGTGGAAGACTTTGCCTGCAGCATGTGCCTTTGAGAAACAATATTTCACTGCTTCTGCCTCTGTGCCCATTCAACTGAGCTCTCTTTATGATGGTGATTAATGCAGGAGTTCTTATAGATGCAGCATTCTGCCTTTCCTCATTCAGGTCATTTTCCAGGGTTGAGTTTTTCCTCCTCTGTTCTGGCCTTATGTCTCCCAAGGCTGCACAGGTGAATTTGATCTGGGGCATTGTAAGTGGCAGCAGGGCTGGGAAGGGGGAAGGAGGATGTGGTTTGAAAAGGGAACACTTAATAGCTTTTCTCCCTCTAAGGAGCTGCCTGTCACTTCCCTGCAAATGGTGTTTTCTTCATTCTGCAGCAAGCGGTTTCCTGTTTCCTCTCCTCTGTTGTGTCTTCCTGAGACCCTAGCCACAGATGATCACTGGGAGGAGAGCTGCATCTCCTTGTGGCAGATAAAGGCTGGCAGAGGGAGGGGGGAAATTAATCCTTCCTCATCAGTTCAGGCCACCCCTCCACAAGGCAGTGTCACAGCAATCACATTTCCTTTGCTTTGAAACCACCCTGATGTCTTTGCAGCAAAGCCCCTCATGCCAATTTACTGAAGCTTAAGATGGCACTGGAGAAACATACAAATAATGGAGCAATAGCTGACCTTGCCTGAATAAAGAATGCAACTGATAATGATCTATGGGGGATTGTGTGCCTTAACCTTTAAGAAGTGCTGAATCACCATGCCAAGAGAATGTATACTGCTGAAAAGGCCTCACAGCCAAATGATTAGCTTTTTAAAAAAAAGTGCAGGGGGAAGGGAAGAGTGACCAAATCCATCTGGGAGAGGAAACTAAATAGAAATGACAAGCAGCCCTATCTGAATGCTTTCTCCTGGAGTTGGCATTTGTTAAGACCACCTTCTGTCAATGATGGAGCTTTCCTGTAATCAGAAAGCTCCATCTTCAACAGCCCCATCATGCAATAACAACGTATTATCCCATTAAAATTAATCCACAACCCTAAAGCAAAAGTATTGCTATCAAGGAGAATTGGTGTTCCCTAGGTTTTGTCTCTTGAATGATGAGCTGGAAGGGAATGCAATGAAGTAAAGAACTCAAAAGTACTCACAAGACCATCCTCAAGTCCCAGCCATCCTCCCCTCAACAATGAGATCCCGGGAGGCTTCAGCAAGACCTGTATGAAGGCATTTCAGCTCTTGCTTGAATTTCCAAAGTAGTTCAATTTGAGATGCAGATGAATGCACCTCAAGCTTGCTTGGGGTAGCTGCATATTTTATTGTTAGCCACCTTAAAATATCAATGAAACATGTGTTCTTAGAATTACAAACAGAACACACATTAGATGTCTATTCACTGGAGAAAGCATACTTTATAAACAAAGTTCTGAATGAAGATTACTGTGGGTGGATTACCTTTTAATTTTGAGGGTTGTCAAGCATAATGGTGCAATACTTGCACACACAATGCGTTCAGAGCCCAGTTAGTTTAGCAGAGATAGAAAATTTATCTAGATGGCAATTTGCTGCAACCCTTTTACTTGTACTGCTATTGAACCCACCCCTGAAATTGCCAGGAGAGAGGAAGAGTAATATTTCATGCTAGGTATTCTCTAGACTTACTGTAGAAACCCAACAGTATAAATCTGCAACCCGCAGAATGGGCTGAATTGATGGGGAAACAGTTACCAGAGTTACAGCCTAGCACACCTACAATTAGAAACTCTTCCCCAGTGTTTGATCAAAACTGAAGAGTGTCAGATGTTTCAAACCTTTTCTAACTTGCAAGTATAATCCCTCCCTATAATTCTTAGGTTGGTGCTTCTGCACTCACGGAGACAGTATGTGATCAGATATTACTGTACAAAAAGATTCACAAAGGATGGCCATAATTATTCCAACTAACAGAATCACCACCCAACAGATAATTAAAAGAAATTTATTTCACTTGTCAAAACAATAGGCTCAATAAAATAAAACCAGTGTGTACAACACATGTCACAATAGACAAGATCATGCAGCACTTCAGGAAAAATTAAAATCTCCCATCATGTACAGTTAAGTGCCACACCCAAGAATTTACAGACACAGTAATTTACTGTAATTAGTCACTTTTAAAAATAGTTCCCTAAAGAAACATGCTTCATCCTCCAGTTTTGAGGGGGCAAGATGCTGGAGTACTTTAGTGTAAACTCTAAAACATGTCAGTCCTTGGAGGTGATTTTTCCGGAACAAGAGTATCCCACACCTCAGTCTCTTTTAAGTCCATCAGGTTTAGTAATAAAAATGCAACAGTTAATGCCTCTGGCAAGTATGTAGTCTAGGTGAGTTGCTGATTGTGTGGTCTCTTTGTATCCGACAAGTCAATCCATCCCCACAGCTGCATCTCTGGAAGATCTCCAAACCATGAGCACCTTTCTTGCGGTGTTTTGTGCACACTTGGCCTTCCTTAAGAACCGGTTTGCAAATCTTGGACCAGAAATGACGGGCACAGCACAGTCCTTCCATACAATCGGAGGAGCGGAGGCATGAGTCACCTTCTTCACCTGAGGAAATAAAGGAAAGGGTAATTGAGAACAGAGTGATACTTGTTTATCCCTAGTCCTGTTTTCTCCTTAAGCAACTGCAGTGAAAGCGATAAGACACTGAACCAACGGTTTTCAAAGTGCTTCCCTGAAAATTTCACCATAACTCGCACATGCTTTGCACATACCACAGGTGCATGTGTGTTTATGCAGGAGCATAGGAAGGCCAGAGGCCAGTGCCACACAAGCTGAGTATGTGCCATAGAACCCTCTAACACAATTTGACAATATTAAGAGTTCCTTAGCAGATCCATTGTGTAAAAGTGTTCCCCGTAAACAGGAATTTACAAGCCATTGAACCGAACAAGCCATGTGTTGACAAAGGATGTTGCCCAGTTCTGAGAGCATGTCTTTGGGTTGCTGCTAACAGTTGTTGACATGTGTGTCCCACTATATAAGTACCATCCGTTGCAAGGAAAACTTTGTGGGGAAAACATGCTCAAAATATTGGCCACCCAAGTGCTAGAAATGTGTACATAGTTATTGAGAATGTCACCATTTGAGGTTTCGAAAGGAAGCCTTCACAGCAGAAGGCATCAATTTTAAGAGAATCCTGGAAAGGACTAAATGCCTATATAGGGACTGGCATAAAGCTATCAGATTTTTAAAACACCACTGCACTGGTCAAAACAGCAGTCTCTACAACACATGAGTTGCAGCATGCAGTGGGACAATCACTCCCAACGCATCCATTATCAGTCAAGATCTACAATGTTCCAAGACTTTGAAAAACCTTAAAAGTGCCATATTTGCCTTCTTTGCCACCCCACCCCAGCCTGTATAGCTGCTAACACCCTTACCTTTTGCATAGTGAAACTGGGATGAAATTGTGGTCCTTTTGGGGTGAAGGTCCAAAGTGCCATGGTCTGAATTCTCTATGATAGTCTCCTCAATCTCCCCAGGATGGAACTTATCATATTCCACTGGCACACAGATCCCTGATAAAAACAAACAAAAACCAAAACTCAGTGAAAACAAGCTGATAGCTATGGAAAACCATTCAATCATCTGCTTTGTTGTTCCTGGGTAGACTGCCTCAGATGCTGGAGAAAATCTTGGTGCTCAGTTTTTAAAACACTTCTACACCGTGAAATACTAATACGAAGTTGTATGCCTCTTATCCCTGAAGCCTATAACCTGTTCAGGACCTCAGTGCTAGTGCCCAGTAACCCAGCTGTTTTGGGTAATTTACCTAGTTCTTTCTCCTACTGTTGGAGTCCTCCTTCAGGTGTTACTGAAAACCTGAAACACTACCAGAAACGAAAAGAAGCCTAAGCACTGGAATGGGCTTGCTCCTCTGTATTCTTCAAATGCTTAGCCTGGAGACAGCACAATCTATTCTGGAGCCAACTTCAGGGAGGGATCATAACTCAGAACACATGTCAGGCATGCAGAAGGTCTCTGGTTCAATCTCCCACATCTCCATTTAAGAAGATTAGGTAGCTGGTGACGGAAAAGCCCTCTTCTTGTCCAACACTGGGCAGCCGCTACCACTCAGGGTAGACAATGCCAGTCTAGATGAAGCAATAGTGACTCTAGCTAATGCAATGTCATTTATTGCTGTTTTATCATCAGTTCTGAAATCCTGGCAGTCAGCCTGTGTAAGTAACAGTGCCTCACTATACCATCAACTTTTGAGAGAGCATCCCAAGGGCTCTCTGGCAAGATTAAACCCAAACATTCACCATAAGTAAGCACATCCTGCATTTAATTTAGAAGTCAATCTCTCTATATTCAACAGTGCTTACTCCTAGGTAAGTGCTCTAGCAATTGCACATTGACAGCCAAACTTCTCTCCCCCCCCCCACTCCATTGACAGGTAGGATGCTGGCCAAAAAGCCAATAAGACTTTCCATTACTTCCAGCTCCAACACACCCACAGCCAGATGGGCAGGTTTTGGGAGTGTGTTCTTTAAACACCCACATCATTTTATTTCGCTATTTTATTTCTACCTCCAGCACTAGAGCACCTTGCCCCCCACCCCTTTATGCCGGTCTTGTCGACAGGTCCAGCCTCAGGCAAACAACTAAAGCCAAGCAACACTCACCGTTACTGCAGTAAGTGCCCGGACAGCACATGGAGTCGCGATGGCAGCGCTTGCGGCGCCTGCGGCAGGCAAGGCAGATCTGTGCCGCCGGGTAGCCCGGCAGGGCAGGGGTGGCGCAATACTCTCCCGCTCTGCAGTCGTCGTCCCCGATGCACGGATAGCCCTGCAGGCGAGGAAAAGCCAAGTGAAGAAGCGCCAGCGGAAAGGAGAAGGCTCCCAGGAGCCCCGTGGGTAGACGGTGACCCCCACCCCGCCTCTCGCGCGCAGAAAAGGAGGCACACATACCTGGTGCGGATCGATGGGGTGGTGCGTGTTGCTTCCGTCGTACACCGACGGCGCCGGGGTGACTGGAAATCCGGCCGCCGCCGAGCTCTTAATGATGGCGTTGGAGATAGAAGCGGAGTTCTCCGCGGCGTCGGCGCAGCCAAAGAAAGAGAGAGCGAGCACCATCACTGTAACTAGACGGCAGGATCCGTCCGCGCATAACGTTAGCATATTTGCGACGGCGAGAATATTTTATAGCAGCTCGAAAGGTCACGGGTTCGGATCCAACTCGGTCTTGGTTTTTTATTTTTATTTTTCAAAGCCCCCAAGTAGAGTGTGTGTGCAAATTCCCAGGAGATAAGGGTCCTTCGAGCCTTGCGGGGGAGTTTAGGAATCTCCGCTCGCTTCCTTTGAGCTGACTTTATACTCCCCGGGGTCCTAATTCCCGCCCCTCGGGGGGAGGGGGAGGGCGCGCAGCCCCGCCGAGGATGGGATTACAAAAGGATCATCCGGCGGAGGTGGGGGGGGGAGATGCGACGCACCCCCGCAAAGCCATTCGCTCATTGGGCGGATGTCCTAATTGGGGATCGGCCGGCAGGGGAATTCTCACTTGCTGCAACGCTATGAATCTTGATTTGATTTGGATACAGACGATTATTCATAGAAAGCGGGGGGGGGGAGCGGGTGTTCCGCTGGCTTCGCAGCAGCTATCCCTTCAGAGCACCCAAAGGGGAAATTTATTGGTGTGAATTCTCTTCAGACAGTTCCGTGTTTTAGCTGTCCATGTAAGGTGCGCTGTCTAGGGAATAGGGCAACCCCCCCGTGCATATTTTAGCTCTGTGGCAATTACTTCCGAGCAAAAACGCATAATAAAACACTCCCTTTCCAGTGAACGCGTCTGGCTGAAATCTCAAGCACGGTAACTTTGAAGCACTGAACATAGTGCTTACTTTCGAGTAAAATGAAGAGAAGATGGGGAACGAAGGGTAACTCTGACTTTATAACAATGTCACCCCTCTTTCTCTTGCAGCCCCTATCATATTCAGTAGCGAATTGGATTATTAGTGAGAAGAGAGTGTTACCTTTGCCATCAATCTTAGACTGCAACCCTAAGTAAGCTTTCCTGGAAGCAGGTACCACAGACCACAGTAGAGCTTGCTTCTGAGTAGACATGTACAAGATTTTTACCATTAACAAATTAGTTGTAGAGGCACAGGGCAACATTCCTTTGCTATGGAACATGAATAATAACTGAAGCTGATGATCAGGGCAAGCCCAAGACAGTTGTGCTTTTCTGTTTGTTTGTTTACATTTCTATCCCAGCTTTCTTCCAAGGAGATCAAGGTGGTGCATGTAGTTCTCTCAATTTAATCTTCACAACAACCCTGTGGGGCAGGTTATGCTGAGAACTGAGAGTGAGTGACTGGCCCGAGGTCAACAAGCAAGCATCATGGCAGAGCGGGGATTTGAACCCTGGTCTCACAGGCCTTACTGTCCAATACACCAATCACTACACCACACTGGTGTCCCTGCCTCCCATCCCATGTACAGAAGCTAACTGAACTGGCAGCTGAATCTTACTTTAGTGCTCCTCATGGCATCGCATTCTCCACCACACCTGGGGGCAGAATAGTGGGTGCAGGGCTGCCCACATGGCACACACAGCACTGTCCTCCAGAGAGGATAAAGACCAATGCTTCCTCCAACATCTGCTACCTGAAGCAGTTGCCTCACTCAGCTTAAGGATAGAGCCAGCCCTGGAGACAACTATCAAAGATGCTTCAGTGTAGTTGATTCCACAAGTTACGTTAAAGCAAGCCATTTTCCTCTGAGATGGCACTGATGTTGCACTGAAGTATCTTACGACTAGTGTCTGTGGATTCTGGGCTGTTTCAAAGCTACTTGATGAAAGGACCCCTCTCCCACCTTCCAGTTGTCTGTTTTAAAGATATATTTTTCATTACATAACTTCGTAATAGGAGGTTGCAAGCTGTCCACAGCTGGATTTCTCTTGATGTTTCACATCCAGCCGTTCCCACTCTTACCTTTGGTGCGGGCAAACTTATATAACGAGGCTTCATTTTTTAATTTTGGGGATATCAAAAGAGATGGACCAATAGGAACAGAGCTTTCAAGTTGCTCTTTGATGGCCTATTAAGAAGCAAGGCAATAGACTGGAGTTTGTTAATTGCAGATTAGAGAGGGGATGAGTTGTACTGTGGAATTTGAAAATAAATAATTAAATGCAAGATTAGCCTAGTCTGCTTTCCACCACCCCTCCCCCTATCGTGTGCATTTTTTTTTACTGCTAAGATTTTTGAATTTGGTATCATTGGAGATGCTAGTTAAACAGCCAATGGAGATCAAAGAACCACTACAGGCCTATGAACGAAAATCATTCTCACCCTTTTAGTCCTCTCAAACCATATGTAGTTTGATCAGCTCATGTTGATAAGGAATCCTCTGAACTGCAGCTTCTTTGGAGGTGCAGAGAGCTAATTGTTTCTAGCCATGGGCCTAGATCTTCTAGGGAGCTTAGGTTGGTCAAGGAGTTCAAAGAGAAACAATTTTAATGGGTGCTAGCCACGCCATCCACAAACCATTTCTGTGTCCCTTTTGTTCTTAAATTGGCATTGTTCCTTCAAAACAATGGTTGTGCCATATGTACTAGAGAGCGAATAGATGGGAATTCCTTGTGACAACGTCAGTCTCTGTCATCTAAAATAAACTCTGCTAATTATCCTGTTGTTACATCTCAGGAGAAATCATAGCTTTGAAAATAAATAAATTTATATTACAATCCTCTGCATGTTTGCTCAGAAGTAAATTCCACTGCATCCAAAAGACTCACTCCCAGGTTCTATGTTTAGGATTGCAGTATGCTAGAAGCTCTATTGGGTCAATATTTTTGTAAAATACAGATTTTATATTTATAGCATTGGAACAAATATGTAGCATACATATAGCACAACAGATTTAGATAAACTGTTGTTGCAACCTAAAGCCTATTGAATTTTTCCACCAAAAACTGTAACTTAGGGTGGCCAAGTGGAAAAGGAGAAAAGGCTTCTGCACCTTTAATAATTCTTTGGCATAATTTCAGCAGGTGTTCCTTGTTGTTAAATTGCAGATAGGAGCAAATTTCAGTGGATGCAGTTTGTCATGCGGGCTACACCGGCTGAGATTCCCTCTTATGCAGGTACTTATCTTTTTAACCTTGCCACCATAACCTTGGCATATCTAGTTCATAAACATTTTGGAATGTTCATGTCTGTTCTCTGCTTGTACCCAATTACATGTTATCGTGGCAGTTTGCATTTTGTAATTAGGCAATGTTGTGCTATGACATCTAACAGCCCTCTGGTATACCTAGGAAGGGCCCTTTTTATTGCCCCAGATTTATCCCTATGCAAGGATAGAACATATCCATACGAATCACTTTACTGAAGCAAGTTTGTAACAAATGAGAAAAGAAGTAGTCATATCAGGTTTATTTATATATAACTTTTCTTCACTTGCTGTGGTACAGGTACATTGAGAGTACTGCTTAACAACAAAACAAAAAACAAATGGATCAGACCAAAGGCCCAGCTAGTCCAGCATTCTGTTCTCACAGTGCCCAGTTAGCAGGCCTGAGTGCAACAGCATCCCAGTCACTTATGATCCTTAGTAATTGGTATTTAGGGACGCGGGTGGCGCTGTGGGTTAAACCACAGAGCCTAGGACTTGCTGATCAGAAGGTCGGCGGTTCGAATCCCCGCGACGGGGTGAGCTCCCATTGCTTGGTCCCTGCTCCTGCCAACCTAGCAGTTTGAAGCACGTCAAAGTGCTTCTCTGGTGGGAAAGTAAACGGTGTTTCCGTGTGCTGCTCTGGTTCACCAGAAGCGGCTTAGTCATGCTGGCCACATGACCCGGAAGCTGTACGCCCCCTCCCTCGGCCAATAAAGCGAGATGAGCACCGCAACCCCAGAATCGGCCACGACTGGACCTAATGGTCAGGGGTCCCTTTACCTTTACTTGGTATTTAGAGGTATACTGCCTCCAAAAGTGGAGGTAGAATATAACCATCATGACCAGTAGCCATTTTTAGCCACTGTCTCGCCTTCTTTTAAAGTCACCCAAGCTGGTGACTATCACACACCAGAAATAAATTCAACAATGATTGCTGTGAATACAATAATGAAAACTGAAAATGAGCTGGCTCCAGGAAAATAATTTCAGAAGGCAATCAAATAATATTCAATTCCTAAAGATTTATTACACTAGACCAGAGATGAGGAGGCTATAATCCTCCAGATATCGTTGGACTCCAGCCCTGACAGCATGGCTAATGGGTAGGCATGATGGAAGTTACATCTGGAGAGCAAATTGTTAGCCACCTCTGCATTAAACAATTCATTTGTCCAATTAAAATGAATCAACCACAACTTAACTTAATCCAACCAGGCGGGAGTGCCATACTAGGCTCTTCTGAGCTGCTTATTTTCTACTACCTGAAAATACAATTTTCTGACTCCTGAAGACTTTATATTTTGAAAGTCACATCTCTTCCAATCATTAAGTAATAGTAAAGGTAGAGGTAAAGGTACCCCTGATCGTAAGGTCCAGTCACGGATGACTCTGGGGTTGCGCGCTCATCTCACTCTATAGGCCGAGGGAGCTGACGTTTGTCCACAGACAGCTTCCGGGTCATGTGGCCAGCATGACTAAGCTGCTTCTGGCAAACCAGAGCAGTGCACAGAAACGCCGTTTACCTTCCCGCTGGAGCGGTACCTATTTATCTATTTGCACTTTGACGTGCTTTCGAACTGCTCGATGGGCAGGAGCTGGGACTGAACACTGGGAGCTCACCCCGTCACGGGGATTCGAACTGCCGACCTTCCGATCGGCAAGCCCTAGGCTCTGTGGTTCTGGACCACAGCGCCACCCGTATCCTTGAATAGTACACACTACAGTACACACTTTTAATTTGATACACATAATGTCTGTTTTCAGTTCATAAAGTCTTTTCTACAAGTCAGTTATATTTGCTGCAAGACACTGCTATCATAGCCATTGTGAGGTTTTTTGGGGGAGAAAGAGGTGGGGTAATGATAGTTTATGCGTGAAGTTTTCTGACTGTGTCACGTGGGTAGGTTCTTTATGTATTCCTTTTTTGTTTTTGTTGGTAGCATGAGAGGTCGGAGAGCCCAGGGCCTGGTTGGTTGCATTCAGTTTATTGCAGCAAAGTTTGGTTGCATGTGTGAAGGGGGGGAGGTCGTTGGGTCAGGTTAGCCATATTAATTGATATGCTGTCGAGGGCGGGGTGAGGTTGTTGTCTTGTTGGGCTCTTTGTTTGTCCCCCGTGCTAGTTTTAATTCATTGGTTAGCTTTTCTAGTGGGACTGTTTCCTATACAGTTTGGTACCAGTGGTCTATGGTCACTCCTGATAGGTCCCTCCAGTGTCTAGTTATGATGCTCCTAG